CATTGAATATCATATTCAGTACCATTTGAATACCTTAAGAATTTTGGAGGTTAGTCTGTTAACCTTATATTCATGCTTTTAACAATGTTTCTGCAAAATATCCCATGGATCAAGTGCACGGTGTTCACTCATATCTCACCTCAGCAACAAACAGCAAGTCCAAACACATGGAAAGAAAAATAATGTGGAAGCATATCTAGTGTTTGCCTGAATGTTCTCATTCTCAAGGAAGAAAGGATGAGAGAGGCCTCATCTTCATCTCATCATGCTGTTCCTCTGTCATACGCTACCACACTGGATGTAAGGCAGTATATACTGCAAGATTCAGTGAGATACTAGAAATATAATCTTCAAAATACCTCTCATAGCCAAGGTGCAGTACTACTGCAAATGAAAGTGATTCAAGTTTGTTACTGACTTCAGTGTGTCCAGGACTAGACTACACAGAATGAAATGCACATTCAAGAAAATAATCCCTCAATTTTATTAATAATACACATTTTGGAAGTTTATAGTTTTATTCCCTCACTTAGTAATCTCCTTGAAACGCAAATCTGTATTTCTCTCTCTTTCATGTATTTGTATTTACCATAAGTTATCTTAAAATCTGTGCTGGAAACCCATATTAAGTTAGGTTAACTTCAGATGGAAGATTACTAAGAAAACACAGTACTTTTTTCTCCACACATTAAAGACAAATGGATAAGTTTGATTTATCTGAAGCTTAAATCCCTCTCACCATTCCATATCTCTTCAGTCATACACTTTTAGGTTCTAGAATAATTTGTTAAATACTAAACCATTAAATGGTGCCAAAAACATCAATAAAGTCTGCTTGATTAACTATAGTGCAGCACATGTAAACTGAAGATGAGAATTATTTTCCTGAGGAACGAGCACTTCCACTGATGTATTGTATTCCTTGAAAGAACATGCAGATGGGCAGTTTTGGATACATAAAACTGATTGCTCTTGCTGTGCTGCAATTTTAAGACTATTCTAATGACTCTAGAGGGCCACGTACTAGGAGCAGGTGGGATATAGTCCCTTTGTACACTGAGCTTTAATACTGAGGTATCAGAGTAAATTATCAGCCTTTGTTAGGATACATTATCTTATTTAATCTTATTCCTTTACTCTTTGAATAGTAAAAGGACAGAAAAATTCTCATTTTCTTCATTGAAAGCTTCACTAAGTGTAACAAACTTAAAGCAGCATTTTTAATAGCACTATGTGACATTTGGTCACACCTGCCACAGTCACACAACTCTTGCAATCAGTAAATTCTTGGTTTTGCTCTGGGCTTGACACAATCCGTAAATGCTGCCATGACAAGCTTAATTATACAAAGTCTCAGACAGAAATTTGAGCTGAAAGCATGGACACTCATATAATTACAAAATTAAGTCACTTGATGGTGAATGGTTCCAAGAGAAGCAGTAATTTTATCCTTTACTGATTTTTTTACTCTGATAATTGAATAACAACATTGAACTATTTCAGTGACTAATTGGTAACCAATAAAGGGAATTTATAAACACTTGCTGTTTTCAGTTTGTAGGCTGAAGCATTTCCTACTCAAAAGACAAGTTACCTAAACTGTGTAACTCTAGCCTAGTTATTGTGCATATCTGACACAAAGAGAGTACATGTTCACTTATTTGAAATATAACTTGATGCATAACCTGTCTCTTATATTTTACAATTAAGTATTTTTTGTAGATAATACCGATTTTCCACAGGTTCAATAAAAAATAACATAGTTCTCCTTTGCAGCTCCACTAACTTCAAACGTAGACTAGGATGAAATTGTGATTTAGCCCCTTTATCTGTAATCTTTTAAATTCATGATGCAGTGACATAAAACACGCAAGGAAAACTTTTGGAACTTTCAGACTTTTTACCAGTCTGAGATATTTAAACTACAAAGATATGCAAAGTTTTTTTTTTTTTTTTTTTTAATTAAAACTAAGTTTTACTAGTATTTTCCAGGAGAAAGAAAATTTATGCTCATTATGCAATTATTTAAAATGTAAAAGGTTGAGATATCTATCTTATTTGATACAGTTCAAATGTGTACATATCCATGTGAGCTATACACAAACATAACGTATTTGAATGTCAAAGAAAGCTGTAATCCAGTGATCCTGAGAAACATTAATCGTGTAAAAAACTGTAACAATGTACACCTTGTTTCAGCATGCAAGACTAACATGTACTTTTAAAAAGCACTGCAAGATTCAGCATAACTTAGTCGTATAAATATTTTGCCATATAAGTGAAGTAAACTGGGAAACATATTATGGTTGGGCAATAAGAATTTTGGTAATTTTGCAAAGGTACCTTAAACTGTGCTAAAATAGACAGTATTTAAAGTTCAGCTATCACAGCTTTTCTAGGATCCTCTTTCCGGTATGTTCAGTGCTTGAAGTGAAACTGGTTTTTAGTTTACTTCAGTAATACAAAGTAGAGCAATCTGAATATTAAACATGTATCCAGGCTATCAGTATAAAGCTGACTTCAAGAAGCAACACAGAATATATCTGTACAAGGAAGAAGAGGAATATGGGCAAAATATGACTGCTAAGTAATTTGTTGGTTCAATGACTTCTTTGACATGAAAGAAAGGCTTAACTATGAATTACTAATGCACTAGTTAGACTGAGAAAAAAAAAAAACTCTTGATAATTTGTTAGCACACTGTAGATTTGTTTAATGTAATTATCTTCTAGCTTTGGAAGTCTAATGCATCTCTGGCTGCAGTGCTGATACTATTTAAAGCAGTTTGCATCCAAAGGTAATGAATGAAACAAAGGCTGCTCCCTAGCACACCTCTGGTACACAGTCAAAGAAAAGTTTTTGCTTTATATAATACTTTAAATGTTTTTTAAAGAAGACAGGTATCTTCTATCAGTCTCTCTTGCATCAATGGCCCAGAATGGCCATTAATATTGTGCCTCAACATTCTTGTGCTGTAAAAGCAGGAGTACTTGGCTACTGCTTTCTCTTTTCGCGCTTGGCACTGGATCTCTGGGGTATTACAGTGGCATGGAAGGTCATCTATCTTCTTCAATAAAGACTTAAGCACCAGCAAAGTTCAATGATTAATTCAGGTTTTTTAAATTAATTTATATAAATTTGTCTTGCTTTATTAGTTCATCAGTTAAGTACGCCATATGCACTGTGTTTTAAAAGACACTTTATTTTCATTCACTTACCATAGCGTGGCCTTTACTTTGTATCTTTACACAGGGCTAGAATACTCACCCTCCAAAAAATAAAAAAAATTGGAATCAAATTGGAAACTATTGAAACTGAGTAAATCATAGTGCTGGAAAGCTTCTGTAGTTCTTATGTTATGGAAATATTTTCTTAACCTAGCTTCTACAGTAACCTCTCTGGCTTTTCAGGAGCATAATAGACAAAGAAATCATTTGAAATCCAAAAAGTTGGGTATTTTCAGAACGGTATCCCGAACTTTATCCCGAGCTCATGAACTTTTAAGCTGACTAAAACCAATTTAATTCGGAAATTTTGTTTGAAATAGTCTTATGGGTTTATGTTAAAAAAATAATACACCGTCCCTAATAATGGAAAAATACCCATAATTACAGAAAAAAATTAGGAAAAAATGTATTTCTTATAATTAGCATCAGCAATTTTGTTTCTTAGAAATAAAGAATATAGAGCAGTACTTCTGTTCAGTCCACCTATTACATATACGTACATATGTGTACATGTATATGCTATTATGCAACTTGACTGCATTTTATTTTCAGCTCATTAGAATGAGAAACAGATTTTATAATTAATAATGAAATTCCTAGAATGTTCATAAAGGTTGAAACTTTTAGCAGTTACTGTAATGACACAATGCAACTATTCAGTGCACTGACAACTTAGTTAATTTTTATATAGTGTCAGCTGATACATTTGTTAAAAAACTATTTCTTTTCATTCATTAATTTTATTGCAGAAAGATTTCCATATTGCAAAAGAGCAATGCTGAAACAGCTCAGACAGGATATAAAGCAGAAATACCAATCATCAAGTGACATTAAAAAGCTGAAATCTCTTTATTCACTTTTGACAGTGTTGGTGAGCAAAACAGCCTCTGCTTACAGTTTTAAAAGGCACAATGAAGCCTTATTTACTGCACTCTTGCTCTACCATAACGGACTTACATTTCGCTCAAATCTATAATGCAGGCTTTCCTAAAATCTTTTTTATTGTGATGATGCACTACACTGACATCTCTCTGCTAGCATAGGGGCTGACAGAGTTAGGGTTTTTTTGACCACTTGTTACAGAGGGTATATTTGCATTTTCACTCATGTATCCAGTTAGACACAGCAACCTGACAAAGACAAATCCACCAGTATGTATACGAGGAAAAGATGATTTATCCTCTCTGTCTAGCTTGAAGACAGAATCTCATCCTAGGAGCTTTAGGATGAAGACTACTTTATCAAGAATTACATGTACCAAGTGGCCTACCTCCTTACTGCTGTCAGCTCCTTGAAAGTTATCTTCAATTTGAGTTTTCCCATGTACGCTGGTACTGTCTTGCTTCAGATCCAAAGGGAAAATGCAAGATTCTGGTGACATGTTTGGAGACTTCCCATGAGGAGCTGATCGAGGTCTTGATGAAAATGTGAAAATCTCTTTATTATTCACTTGGTGATTGCCTGTTTCATTGCTGTGATGGTCAGAGGCATTCTGTGGTGATGCTAAATTATGGCAGGCTGAATCTTCAGTAGCTACGAACTGCTCACTCCAATCCAACTGAATACTCTCAGTCAAACTTTCTGGAAACAACCGTTCATCTGAAACGTATAATGTTTATTTTAATGACATATTTAAATTATATTTTACCCTGATCACACTTCCTCCCCCCCAAGAAGTTACACAGCATAATAAGGTTTTCTAATATAGAAACATTCTGCTTGTCAGATTTATACACTTGGAAGAATGACGAGGATGCAATGAAAAAGATTAGGCTGCTTTCTAAGTGAGTCAAGATTAATCAAAACATTTCCAGATCACAGGTCAAAAAATCCTCAGGCTACGATCTATGATATACTGCAAGCCTGCAATTTGAAAATTGTAAACTATTTAGCTATTAAGATTTGAAACTGTTCCATTCTAGGAAAACATTTTACTAAATTTGGCTATTGTTTTTTTTTTTTTTTCTATAGGCATTTTTTGTGGCTGATATTTAAAAAAAAAAAATCACATAGTTGGTGGAAAGTTCATAATATTACAATCTGCTCCTTCTTTATTGCTGAAATTCTATACTTTCTTTTATGTCCAGAACTCATGGTTTAAATCTCAATTTCAAACTGCAGCTTTGATGAAAAATAGCGTGACACGAAAAATGTATGAAGATATCTGTTTCACCAAGTTTCCCTGAATACAGGCAGTACTAATCTGCCAATTTTAAAACAAACAAACTATAGAAATGGATTTAAAGATTGAGTGCACCAGATAAACATGAAAAGGTCATTTTTATACTCTGATTGTTAACTTATAGTTTACTGTTTGGAATGATGGTATAGAAAAAAAAAAATGTCAACTTGATTGATTAAAACCAATCTCAAATAGCATCTGAGAAAAGGAGAATTGCTCAAGTATGCAATACTCCCTTATCTTCATTAAAGGTACTGTGGTGTGGAGTATTCACTAGATCTTGAAACTTTCTGGCTCCATAAAACAAAGTTACCACCAACTGCATTAAAAGAGCCTCAATAAAAAAAATACTAAAAATGTAATAATAAAGTAGCACTGCAATAATAAAATGCTTGCTATCACAGAAGACAGTACGTTTGCAATGGTATTCTGTTCTTTTTAGTTTTGTTAAGATATAATAATGATTTCAGGCAGATTCAGCAGCTTTGGGGGGGGTGGAGGGGGGAAGTCTGAACCATGATATATGAAGGCAAAATAAAGAACAATAAGAACACAAGGAGAAATAGCTGTCTTACTGAGTAAGATACCAAACTCCAGTTAATATCCTAAACAGTTGTTTGCACCAGGAACCAGTGAAAACACTTCTACATTCATGGCTTGCACTTCCTTGTGCCAGAGGAGACTATTTTTCAATTTCTACATGAAGAACATCTATAGTCAGAAGCTCCAAGGCTTTTCAAGTAAACTCTTTATATTAGACAATCATGGTGGTTTAAAAAAATCTAGCAGATGATTGTCTATTGTGCATAAAAAGTCTATTTTGTAAATATTTTAATTAATAAAAGACATGAACATGTAAGTAATACCATTTATGTTGCAAATATTTTGGACTAGTTTTTTCAAGACCCCCAAGAAATGAGTGAGACTATTCAAAATTTTTAAGAACCACTCTTAACTTGCATAAACCAAATGACCTTTCATGCTGATCAATAACTACAAGTTTTTCAAAGGAGGATACTAGAGCAGAATTCTCCTGTCTTTCATCACTCAAGACAACGTCACACTCCTCTGATAACATATTTTTGTTAGGCAGGCAATTGGAATAAAAGATTTAGTGTCTGCATAATATTTAGCCCGAATATTCTGCTTTTTTAGGCTAACATTCTCCATAAAGAACGACATTTGTTTCCAGAGATGTTGAATATACTTGGGTTAGTAATAAGCTAAATGTAAATATTAATTTGTATACCACAGTATCTATTCTTAATGAAATATGCACAGGGAAGACAGAAAAGTCTGTGAGGCTTTAACATGAAATTTTATGCTGGCTATGGAGTTCAGCAGCTTCTGTAACCTGTAGTTAGTGTAGCATTTTGTTAATACTCTACCAGTGAAAAACATGGGGTGTCTTGGACCAAACCAAATCCTATTATCTCTCCACCACAAACTATACTGGAATTTCTTTTTAACTTAGCATTTCCATGTCAATTGTAATGAACAATTTGGAGTACCTTCTTAGCAAATATGCAAATTACTATGTAATCACAACATTGCAGCAAACAAGGTAAATGCAAGAATGATCACCTAAACATCTAATTAGTTCTTCTACACAGTCAGACTTATACTAAAGCTTCTAATTGCAGCCTAATATTTTAATGAAGGTTTCAGCATTGCATAAATAAGACTGGCAAACTATAAACAGTGCTCACTCATTTTACTTTTTCCCATGCTTAAAAGCAATTTACCTTTGTAAAGGTACTGCACATCTGCTACAGAAGACATGCTGATTTGAGCTGTATAATAAATCTAAAAGATATTAATAGTAGTGACTAACCTCTAAGGTAATAAGATCACCAGTCACCTATAAAAACTGCCCTCCCCTGCAGAAATTTAAATTAATATTTACTCAAGCTAATGGCAGAACAAGTGCCATGCTGTCCCAAGATCACCATAGGATATGGTGGCACAGGGCTCAAGAATATTAAATGCCTGGTGATAAGAATAGAATAGAATAGTGTACAATAGATTCTTCTTGATATAACTTGTTTAGACCACAGTATAAATGGAGAGCCAGATACCACGCAAGCTTGCGCTTGCTTGGAGAATGTGCCAATGACTTGTCATAGGTGTAGGTACATTAACACTTTGTCAGAAGTGTCAGGACTATTATTTTGGCTGAGCCACCACCACTGAACCAAGCTTGTGGTTGTTTACTATGGGACAAGTTGTTGGGTTTCCTGATGAGAACATAATTCCTGAGGTTGATGGGGTTACAATCCTTACAGTGCACATGAACTGCAGCTACAACACAAGTTATCACAGAAATCATAATTTCTTTGCTTTTATTAGAAAGGTATTTATTCTTAAAATATGAACACAAATGTCAAACGGTTTGGTAAGAAACAGGTAGAAGTGTTTTTGTTCTCTCATCTGATAACACCAGTGTACACTTTCCTTTGTAAATTTGTACAGTATTTTATGCAGATGTATATGCTGAAAGGTGTAACTTTATTTAAAATTACACAGATTCCTCATTTTTTTTAATAGATGTTTCTACTTTTGAATTTCTTTCTCTTCTCTATCATGCCTATCATTCTCTGAGATCAAGTTTATCTGACTTTGGAAGAAATTCAGAATAGAGGATAGAAGAGGACTTTCCTTGATGAATAGGTTGCCTATAGGAAGCTCTTCAACACAGATGAATCCAGTACTACAGGATAAAGAAACCATTAAGTCATATACATATAGTTAGACACCTTCACATATTGAAAAGAAACTGAAATCTGCAAACTGAGTTACCAGTGCCAATCAATCAGAATGAGAAACCCCCACATTTGGAAAATTGTAACTTACAAAGTCACTTGGTGACTTCATCTGCTTGTATACACACTTAAGACTATATAAACAGTTTTCACTCTCACTAACACAAACAGTAAAATACCAGTGTTTATACATAGTTTTCTTCCTCAATTCTCTGCTTCTGAATTTGCACCAGGGCATTGAGACATTACAGTCTACTGCTCTAAGTCTCTGTCCTTTCATATCACTTATATTTACATAAAAAAACAAGTGTTGATTCATTTTTCTGAAATTCTAGCATTAGATAGGGACCCTGGTCTTGTAGATGAAGTAGTAAAACAGTGATTCCTGCCTCAGAATCCTCAAAATTCAGGTAAATAGGAAGTAATTTACAAATTCTCCAGAAGGCTCTACCTGCCTTATCATCTTGCATCTGTTTCAGTCAAATTATGAAACCCATAACAGCAACTATGGATTACTGACTTTGTCATAGTATATAATTGCTTCTAAAAATCCCAAAGATTAAACAAAATGGAAATAAGTCAATGTGAAGTAACATTTCTTTGGTAAATTTCAAGCAGACTTGAGTAGTCTGCCCACTTTACAACTCAGTGGCTATACCTTTTAATAGAAAGGAACACTACTTTTTCATAGAGACAAGAGCTATTTTTGCCACAATAATGTACTTTCCAGACATGTGCCAAGCAAGCTGATTGACACTGTATGACAAAGAATTTCCACACCTTTTGGGAGATGGGTGTGAAAGGGAAAAAAAACCATGAACTGAGGTGTCTTTCTGTGAAGAAGAAAGAGGAAAAGAAAACTCACCACTGAATATTAAAAACAAAACTGCTATTATGTGGGAACCATAATTAATATCCTAAACTTATCTGGGACAAGTAAAAATTATGGTACATTTGATGTTTGGAGTTTTTAGTGTTAAATTTAATAGGGATTTAAAGAATAAATTATTTTTACTTCTCTCCCTTTAATCATAAGAGGATGGAATTTTTTGGTTTTTATTCATTCACTGCTCTGGTACTCTGCTTAATCCTGCAAATCTTTATCAATGCTCAAAAGCAATTCTGTTGCAGGGTGTTTGATTTCCATAATCTCCCACAACACAGACATTTATATTTTATGTGAACTGCTTGTGGGTCCTTTGAAATTTACAACAGATAGTCCCCCACATCACACAACTGAGATGTAAAATAACATAAAATGAGCACCATACCACTGGTTCTCTCCCATGTGCTTTTCGTTGCATTTTTTGCAGATAATGGTCTATGACTGTTCTTGTCTGCTGATGGTCCTTGTGGTGAGGCGAGCCGAAAATCTGCTCTTCCACTCTCAGAGGTTTTCTGACTCTGAATTGCAGGGTCTGAAATACAACCCAGCAGTTTATGAAATGCCTGTGAACACTCATGTTTGTTTTTCTTACTTGAGGCATGGAAAAACAGCACACAGAGCATTGTCCTGGGATACAAACATCTTCCAAACAGCACAAGAAGTTATAAAAAACAGGCTTGCAAAAGTCTGCAAAATAATCAAGAATTCCTGCAGTAGCCCAGTTACATACACGGCACGAGGGAAAGCGGACTGTTTATAACCTGTGGCTACTGGCAGCAGGTGGTGATCCCTGGCTCAAACACAATACAAATACCTGCAGAGAGAACGAGCATTTATTCAAGCTCATACAGGAGAATAAGCCATGATTTAATATAAACCTCTTCAGTAATTAACAAGGTAGATAAAGTATTAGAAAAAATGGAGAATTCAGTCTTACACTCTGAAGTCAGAATCATGCAAAAATTTTGACAGTTTGTGAACTCTTTACATATTCTTTGCTTTATGCTCTTACCATTTTGACATACATCTTCAGTTGTTTGGTGAGTATTTCTTTTGCCTCCTTGATCTACAGGATCATTGTGTGGTGAGAACGATAGCTCCAGTCTCTCAGTGTCTTGTACAGCTTCAGTTCCCTTTCCTGAACTTCGAAGTCGGCGTGATCTATTACTTTTGCTACTGCAGGTCTTTGTTACCTTGAAAGACATTATTTTCTTAATGAAAGACAAAAACATAACAGCTTTCAAAATAATCAAAGGTAAACACACATTTTGAATTAAGTTTATTTTTCAAATAAATGTTCCCAAATATATATTTTTAGAAATATTATCTTTTCAGGAAACTTTATGGTAGGTACAGTTCTGCATGGTATCTTCAGTCTTTACAGTCTAATAACAGGCAGTGTTTTTGATTTGTTTGGTTTTTTTCACTGAGTGAAAGGAGAACAAGGCAAAATTAAAATTCACTATCTGGATAAAAAGACAGTGAAACTTATGGCTATTCTAGACCTCAGAAGGAGTACTTTCTTCTTCAGAGAAAGGAATCTCATTTTACATCTTAGCTTTCAATTGACTTCCTACAGAAGAGTCTACTTCCTTTGGCTGGATCCTTTATTCACAGCGTTAAAACCGGGAGTTGCAGTCCCAATTAGATGCCTAAAACCTGCATATTGTTTGCTGGCAGAGCGAGACCAGCTGTTTTCCCTGGCATTGTAACTGACAGCATCACATGAGCTACTGTATCATCCACTGAGAGCACACTGAAATGCAGTTTCTGCTCCGCATCATAGCTCTCATCATAAGGAAAGATATTTACACAAACACACCTGAGTTTTAGCCGTCTAGAACAAAAAAATTCAAAATAAGAATTACAAGAAACCACAGAGTGATTTCAGTAGGAAGAGATCTCTGTAGGCCTAACACTGAAATTAGATCAGGCTGTTCCAGTCAAGCTTTTATTTTTGAAAGTTCTGAAATCCCACCATCTCCCTATGACCCTGTTCCAGTACAGAACCACTCGGTGGTTATACCAGTTATACCCAGTCAGAGGTCCACTGATTCAGTGTGGGCCTGCCGCCTCTTCTTTCACTGGGCATCTCTTAGAAGAATCTGGGCCTGTCTTTTCTACAGTCCTGCATTAGTTGAAAATAGCAACTAGATTCTCCCTTAGCCTTCTCTTCTGTGGGCTGAACAAACCCATGGCATGTGCTGTAGCCACCCAAACATTTTACTTGCCCTCCACTAGACATTCCAGTATCTCTTTCACTGGGGGTCCACAGCCAAACACAACACTTCAGACACAGCCTCACATCAATTCTGAAAAAAACCTTGAGTATGACTCTGCTTATCAATCTCTTCCTTTGCAGCAATTTTGTTGTAATTTAAGCCTTAACTTTCCAAATACCTTTGTACCAGCTCTTCTGTTTGAAGATGGAGGTGGCCCAAGGATCTTTGATCCAAATGCAATATGTGATACATCCTGAGTTTTACTGCTGCGTATATTGCCTTGTCCTCTATTACCCAAGTTACCTAAGTTAAGAAAAATAAGTTTTTTCAAAAAAATTTACAGTACTTAAAGAATAAATATTAATACTTTTTACAAATCAACTGATATAAAAGAATTATTAATACTAAATATACACAAAACTAATATTCCTTTATAGCACAATCCCTAGAAATATGTAGGAATTGCAAATGCACATTTTATAAAAGTGTATCAACATAGAAGCAAAAAACTTTTGGTCTATTGTATAGACATATTTCTAACCTCCTTCACTTAAATATTTATTTAAAAACAGGCTATTTATAAACAAACAAAGAATTGCTTTGCATGACTTCTTTAAAACTTCTAACAAGAAGAAAAAACAACTCTAATAAATAACAGAATAAATAAATAACAACACAAGAAAACTGAAGTAAGACTGTCAAGGTATCACTCACAGCTCAGAGGAGAACTATTTCCGTGTAGCTTGCTTTTTGAAGTTACTGAACCTACTGTATTACCAGGGCTAAGCCCTAATATTGCAAACATACTCTATTCCTGTTAAAATGTTCTACCTCTTTCATGATTTATTTTTTTACTGTTTAAGATGTAGATACTTTTATAATTATTCTCAAGCACAGAAAATGCCAACCAACAAAACAAACAAAAAGTAAACATGGAATGCAGGTGAATGTTCTGAAAAAAATTTAAAAGGGAAAGACAATAAAATGGTTACACATTAATTTTATCACCAAGGTTGCAGAACTGCATGCAATATATATTTTCCTCTTCAATTCTCCAACAATGTCAGTGAATTCTCCTTTCCTCAGTTGATAAAGAGTATCTTCACATCAACTTATACTTAAAATTTACAATGTCTTAAGAGTTTTTCTTGCTACAACTTTGGTGTTAAATTGCTATCTCATTTTAGAGATTTGACACCTTCATAAAGCAATTAAGTAGAATCAAAGCATTTTGTTGATTCTCCTAAGCATTTTTCATAGAATTATTTAATTGTAATTCAAAATCAGCTTTATCTCCAGTGTCATCAAGGAAAAGAAAAGAAGGTCATGCATTAGCCACCAAATATAATAATTTACTGTACAAATAAGCATAAAAGAAGCCACTTTCTGTCATTACCTTCTTCCCTTTTTCCTGATGTGTCATTTGGTTCTGCTAACAGCTGCCATTTCACAAGATTAGATGACCTGTCTTGGTTTAACATCAATTTCTTTAATTTGCTGACTACCTTGGGATGTTGTTAGCTCTAAGTCTAAAAGCTGATTTGCATGAAAATCTCTCTTCATGAACACATTAATTGATTGCAATTAATTGCCTACATCTACACATAACAGCATGTTGATGGCATAATGAAATAATACGTGTAATAAAAAGTGGATGATACTAAAAATATTTTTGGCTTTTGATTATCAAATAAACAAAAAGTTTAGTGGCTAAAAAGAACATTTTCCAATTAAAATGTACTTAAATATACCAAAGTTTCAATTTTCAAGAAGGCCAGCTTCTGAAATTTGAAAAGCATGTCTGGAAGAATACGTTATGTTCATAAAATGGGATTAAAAATAAAGGTTAAACCTTAAATAGAAGGTATTTCATTTTCATGCAGGCCAATGATGTTATCATTAATTATTTCACTATATATACCTAATAGCTATATATCTTTGCAATCCAGAAGGTAAACTCTTAGTCTTGTTTTAGATGAACATTCATTTTTCTGTTTAGATATATCATTCACACTATTGTACTAATTTAAGTTTTACAGTCTGTCATATTTTGACAACCCTGTCAAGAAGTATTGATTTTTGAATAGTCACTGAGAAGCTGAATTCAGGAGTTCCCTCTGCTATTTCAAAAGGAAATGTATAATCAAACTTCACAACAGAACTTTGGCTTTACTGCTTGTAGGGCAATAATACTCTAAAAATACTATATTGTCCTTTAATATTATAAAAATGCTACTTGCATGTAAAGAAAAGCTGAATGTAATTTAAATAAATAAATTAATGAAGGGTCTTACTCTAAGTAAAAATTTTAAACCCCTCCTATTAATTTCAGCTGCTATAGGACAAAGACTGCCATTACTAATGAGCCCTATCAAGGGAGAACAAAAGTTAACAACTTGAAAAAGCATCAGCATCGTAGCTTAGTACAGATGATAAAATCTTTGAGTATTTTTCATATTCTGGTAAAAGCAGAAGAAAAGAAGTTTAAAAAGTATTTTCTTAATCTTTTCATATTATCGAGGTTGTTCTCAAAGAAATACTTTCAAAGTTCATTTTTCTTTAGAGTTTCATGAGATACACCTTAAATACTATTGTTGGCTGTAATAGTCCTGTCTTTTATAGTATTAAACTTCCCCAATACTTACCAATCCCCTGTAATTTACCTTAATGATTCCTTTGGTCAACACTTTGCACGTGTATTTCTAGAGCATTTTTACAGAAATAGTGGATATGATTATTCACTGATTTCAAACACTAAAGATGAGAATCCTCAAGACTGAGAAAATATTAAAACCAGTGCAATAAAAAAATCATCCTTACCTACAGCACCACTTCTAACATTGCCTACACTGACAAAGATTTATTGGAAATGGATTCTTCATCTAATTTGCTTGTTCAGGCCCACTTCTAAGCTACTTCAGAGCTACTTCCTTCTCAAAAGATGTTCTACTCCCCTGTTCTAGTATAATGAATCAATGACTCGTAAAAGGTGGTACAGAGTAAGGGGAAAATGAAAAAGTGTAGTAAGACACTGCAATTATTATTTAAAGGCTTAGTGTTGCATCTCATACGGAAACCAATAATAACATAACAAAAGAGTAGAGGAAAGAGGGTGTCTCTAGAGAGGGATTTCACCTGTGTATTTTGCTAAGCTCTAGCCGTAGGAGGTTTATGTACTTCTAAAGTTTAAGCTGAAAATAACAATCAATCCAACATTTTAAAAGGGGTGAAATTATCAGTTCCCCATGAAGGACATGAATCAGAGCATACAAAATATACTCATTTTAAAATCCATCATAACCCTCTTTTTAAAGAAGTGCTTGCACATATTCCAGGATGTTTACTGTTGCAAATGGACCTACAGAATAGTTTTTGTTTTGTTTTGTTTTTTTTAAAGGGTACAGATTAGTTACATGCAACTGGATTTACAAAAGCAGTAACACCCTGGGAGTGAGGAAATTACATTTTTGACATATTTAGAATTCTAATCAATTAAATGTACAACTACTGAAAAATATGGGGCTTTTCTACATTGATTTGTTTCCTCATTGGAAATGTAGCTGATGTCTTCAAAACTCAACAACTGATTTAAAAAATAGCCAAGCTTACTTTGTTCAATCACAAACAAAAGCCTGTCAACAGCTGAAAAATTTATTTAATTCTTTATACAGTTGCCTTAAGTTACATTTTAAAGATCACTACTGTTTATGAATAATTTTGCAACTAGAGAGTTCCATTAATGAACACAATCTATGTCTCTTATTCTATTCCTATTATTTAATGAAGATATATCTCAAAACTGTTTTAAAGGGATATTCATAATTTTAAATCAAAACATTAAGCACTGTAAAGGCATTTGTGTTAGTGAAATTTTCCAGGTAGGAAGCAATACACAGTTTTAAAGCAAAATAGCAGCTTTAATAAAAAGCAGTCAATTGTCTGATCCAAGTCTATTTAAAGCAATTTCACATTCAAACGTTGGCATTTACTTCTACAGTTCAGTTTCTACTGATTCTTGGCTTACAAATCCTACACAGATAATTTAACTATAAAATCACAGGAAGTGTTATTCTAGAACAGGCCAATGATCTGTTTAACATGCAGTTTCAAACAATGGCCAAAACCAAATTCTTAGCACAAGATAATTTCAGTAGGGATTTATGAAATAATCTACCTTCAACACAGTACCCAGAGTAAGGTTGGAAAAATCTAGAAGTATGAGATTAAATTTTCTGTTCACATTTTTACTGGTGCTAAATGCAATTACATGGACATTACTTTTACTCATATAGATGTCCAACTGATTTTGGAATCATACAAATTTCTTTACTCCACCAGCTTATTGTAGCAGTGGAATTCAGATTTAAATCATATTGTGTGTAACATGGTATTTTGTTTTATCAGTTTTTAATTTTCATCTCCATCACCACATCAAATGATTTCTGTTTTTGTGCTGTGCAATACGAAAAGCAACTTTTATTCAACTTACTTTGTATCTCTAGTTACTTTATTAACTCCCTTAAGCCAATTTTGAATGTTTTCAGCATATCTTCACTAATGCTGCTTCTTTCTGAATCACTTCTCTGTCTCTAAAGTCTTCTGAGATGGTTTAACTGGTAGTGTATAAAGTATTTCAGATAACAATAAAAAACTGATTTATTTAAAGATTTGATACTTTTTCCATTTCGTATTAATTTGAACTTCCTGTTACCCAGTATCTTAGTTTTTTTAAAATGTAGCTACATATTAATTTGAGAATTACACTGAACTTTATATATGGTGATGATAACCTTCCTTCCTCGAGTCATTTAATATTGACACTTTAAAGTTTAACTGTAGTTAACACTTCTCCCCAATATACAATCCTTTGCATTTATCAAAGCTAGATTTTACACGGTATTGTGTTACACATTTATCTCGTCTTGTATAATTTTTCAACAGTGTCCACAAGAAATAAAAACAGTAACCTGAAACTTTGTTTAGCAAAATGTGACATTTCCTGCATGTTACCTGTTCTGTAATGGTTTTCATGAAGAATTACATAAGAGATTGTCCAAAACTCTCAGAAGTACCACTCTTTACTAATCTAGTATCTGTATCATATGAAAATTTTGCTCCCACATTATTCACTTTGCTTTTGAGATTATTCATAACTATAATACACAATACAGAGCCTAGAACAAAAGACTTTGAGGCATCCTGCTGTTAGCCTCATCTATAACAAAAATTTTAAATTTGATCCTCTGTTTGCTTTCTGTCTCTTAGTTTTTATCCAAGTTAATATCTTGGCATATGACTGCCCAGCTTCCTTAATAATCTCTTCTATGCAATGCTGTCAACATCTAAACTATATGTTTTTTTATCTTTCAGTTTACAGAAACATTCAAATAACTCCAAGACACCAATAAGACAAGATTTCCTTTTTCAGAGTATAAGCTGAGGAGACTACGTGTACTTTAAAATAAGTGTAACGACTGAGCAGCCACACTTCAATGTACATTAAATATTATTATTCTAAATCCCACACTTCAATTAGGATTATACAGGCTGCATATAGATATCTCAAGCTATAGAACAGACATGTGTATGTGCTCATGACATTATAGCTATCCAAGAGTTGTCATGTTTTATATTAAGACCCTGGAACTCTTAACATGCATTTTTTTAAAAAAATGCATTATTTGAATGCATGGCATAGATTGTATTCACAGTACTTTAATACAACAGAATACCTGCTTCTTGCACTGTTACTGGATATCTCCTGTATTTTATTTCTGTCTGGTGAATTTTAGTGAGGTTCAGCAATTGTGTAACTTGTGGCACATCTGTATTCAGCTGGCAGATTCGAGGAATAACATCTATGGGTTCAGATGGCATATGTGGAACAACACACATATCTAGAATTAAAAACACGGGCTTTATTTCACTCAGATGACACAACAGAATTAAATTTGACTTACTTTATATGTTAGATTACATATGTTTTAGTCCATATTGTTATAACAATTTAACAGATCACAGTAATTTGAAAAAGTTGCTGCAATTGTTCACTTTTAAGACAATAAGCATGTAAATTTTAAAATTATATTGTGATTTTTTTTAGGCCAAAACATTTGAATACATTTAAACTAAGAAATATGCACAATAGCCATAGTTAATCAACTTCTTTGATTCGGCAAGTGAGCAAGCAAAACAGAATAAAAAAAACAAATTTTGTTAACTTTTATTACAACTCAGTTTTAATTCTAATACTAATATACTGATTTTCAAACAAAATGAACATCTGAAAAGGTTATTGATATCAGTGGGACTGAAGTAGCAAATAGGGAAGCACCATATATGCAAATAAAGAATTTGACAGGCTTTAATTCCAAACTTTGGACACCATTACACTTGCATGATAACCTAAAAAGCTCTCAACCTATCTATTATTGTGACACCAAGCAATAGTAGAATGTGATCTAATTGTCTCTGCTTTCCCTTTGATAACCAATATAGACTGAGTTTATGAAAGTTATTTGCTACAAAGAATGCTTTCCAAAGTCAGAATAATTCCTGATGTTTTGATACAAATTCATTCCAAATTTTATAAGACTTGAATATAGTAAGCTAATGAATATTAGCCTCTTTTCCAAGGATAAGAAGCAGAAAACATAACTTCAAAACCAAACATGAATAATGGATCAAGTATTGAGACCCTTATAGAAAGGTTCAAGTGCCCCATGTTATATTTCAGTAGTGAACATTTAGTTAACTAAGATAAATGCTAGGAACTATTTTTTCACCAAACCAGTACATTATTTTCTGTTGTAAGACAATACTTAGTGATAAAAAACCCCACATGTAACCTTAAGATTACTATGGAGACCAGAAACCAGGTATATAGCAAGCTTGTATTCCTCAATATCATGGGGCAGAGAAGATGCATTCTTTCGTCTTCTATCTCAATGATCTCATATAGAAATAATTTCTTAGTGTATGTGGTTTCTCCTTGCCACTTGCTATCATTTCAAGAATGCAAAACATACAGTATATGAGCTACTAAGAAAGAATAACACACATTGCACCTTGAAATCACTACTTCCACCACCAAGGAGGTTTAAGTAAAGAACTCAACCCTCATTACAAGTTGCAATGTCGTTGCATTCAGTGGAGCCCAACTAACTGGTCCAGCCATCTGAGATGAAAAAAGCTTTATCAAATCATGATTGTTAACTGAAAGTTAATAATAACAAAAAACTACTATTGTTTTTCTGTAATTTGGTATGAATTATAGAGTTATTTTAATACAGCCAAACCTTGAGCTGTAACCTAATTTTAAGACTTGCCTAGATAAGGAAATTCATAAGCATACAGAAAATACTAATGCCCACCAGCTGTGTAATAATCATAGAATTGATAATCCAGTAATTAAAAGTGAAATATTTTACCATGCATACAGTTTATTAAAGTTGCCTCCTCATTATGTTAACTACATTTTGGAATTTTGGAATTCATTTAGAACATTTATGCATATTTCAAAAACTGTTTAGAATAGAAGAAAGAGAACAATGCACTGACAGAATTAAATTAAAGCCACTGAGGCCTCTAACTACAGTTTCTGATGAGACTTAACCAGATTGTCTCTGTAGTTATTTTTTGAATTAATATTTTTTCCAACCTCACCAACAAAAAAAAAAAGAGAGGAGTAATCACAATGATCACACAGTCTCCTGTATTGGTTTAGGTTACAATACTACTAAACTATCCCTCCTTCAAAAATTAGAGGGATAAAGGCACAAAATCAAAATTTGAATTAAATCAAAGCAGAACTATACCTAGGCTTCCTCTAAAATAAGAAAGTGCCAGGTGTGCTTTTTCAATTCCTCCTCTATGACTGCAAATATCAGCAATGAATGAAGTTCTCTCCCTTGGAAAATAATGATTCAGGATTATGATGCTAGTTTGGAGACTGGTAAACCTTTGACCAATATTTTGCTCTATAACAAATATTATCTCTCATTTTTCAGCTCGCTACTAATATTACTCTCCCAATGAGCAAGGACACATTAGGATACATGGACTAAAAATCAGAGAGGTGTTTATGATCATTTCATAGCTCTGTTTCATGTAATACTGTTTTGTTATAGTTTTGTCTTGGATTATTTAAAGAAGAAATCTTTCATCAGCTGCTAACATCCAAAATTAAGAAAGCATGAAATGCTGCTAAGTTTAAATATTTCTTTCCTTTGACACTCTTCTTGGCTAAAACCTGATTTCTATCAGAACAAGATACTCTCATTCAAAAAAGCTCTCTACTTGATAAATCTTACCAGAATTTATTCAATAAAATACTTCTAAGGAAGTCAATGTTTAAAACAGAGGAGTAAGCATATATTTATTCATTTGCCTAAAGTCCAATATTAGTGGATTTAATACATTCTACTACCACTTTAATTCTCATGAAGTAATGTAATTTTTAAAATTGCCAATCTGATGACTAAGAAGCTTTTGATTTTATAATATGAACAGTTATGATTAAGACTACATAGTAATTATAACACACCATCTTCCTCAGTTGTATCTTGTGGCTTGGATTTTAAAGTGAAGATCTTTCTCAGTTTACAGTTAGCTGAAATAATAATTCCATCCAAAGACTGGAAGACAGCTCCTCTGAATATTTCACTGGTGAATGCTACCAAGTCAATACACATATTGCACCACTAGAAAAGAGAAACAATACTCTTTAATAAAACCCAAACACTAATCATTTCAGAAGAGCATTAGTGTATAGTTCTCTGTAAATTAAGTCTCTCTGGAATATTAGAGTCTCACAGGCTGTGATTCACAATTTATAGCATTTTGATAATTTAAAAAAGGATATTGCTGTATTTGTACTTACAGCAATTATTTATACAAACAAATCAGTACACATGACCTAGCGACTGCCAGTCCAAGTAAGCTCTGTTACGTAGCATCTCCACAATACCTTTTGCAGCTATTTCTAAGTAAATAACTTGTGAGAAAGTACATTTATTGGAGGTTTTCTGGGGAGAAAAAAAAATGTTATTCAAAGTTAAAGTTACTGCAGCTCAAGTGCTCCAAAGGCTGTATTTGGAGATTTTTTATGTTTTCTTTCTGAGATTAATAAAAAAAGGACCTTTCCAAACCTTGCATCCCTTCCACACTGAAAATTATCCAGCAAATTTCTAGTATGGGCAAGAGCCCGGTGTACCATAACATCTTAAAACTACTTCTTGTTTAAAATAAATATTATCCATTCCTGATAAGACATTTCCAAAAGTCAAATCAATGAAAACTGCCTAGGTTGCTAAAGATCCTGCTTAAATACATATTTTAATTCTCATGAGATGATTATTCCATTTGTTTCCAGGAAACACCGTTAGAACATTAACACCAATGTGCTACACTCTCCTGTACTATTCTAGCAGATCTTTAAATTATCTCAGTTTCAATTTTTTTTCCATGTAATTCAACACTTGTATATTGCTGGTTTTTATAATACAGAAATGAGTAGTTAAAGGTATCTATTTTGCATGTGGACCACATTATAATTCCATTATCCTCCTAGAGAAAAAAAAAAGATGTTTTATACAAAAAAAGTAATACCACAAGCAGAAGAACTAACAAAAGAGTTTCGTTGTAGCTTTAAGTTTTCCATCTAGTCTCTGATGTTTAAAAACAGATATGCTTATAGTTCTGGTGTTCCTAACTATTCTTCTCCTCATTGATTCTGGTATCTAGCAAGGGATGAGCTGATGCTAACACATCTTCTATAACTGGGAAATAAACAGATGGCCTTGAGGAGAAATACAACCATTTCCATTAAATTTGAAAAACTAATATATTTGATATGATTACTCATATGTAAAACATAGTTGACCAATGGGTTGAAGTTTTATTAAGGGATAATACTAAGACAATGATTGTACCTGCTTCATTTCCTTATAAAGTAAAGGCAAAAGTACTAGTTTCTAAGTGCCAAATAGTAAATATTTTTTCAGAAAACAATTTAGATGCATACATTATTATTCAGCTTCAAGTATGAAATTGTGGAAGGAAAGGAATACTTGTTTTGAAGACACCAAGCAATGGAATGGAAAATGCAGTATTTAATTATAATTGATATTTCTATTGCTGAGGTTAAAAAACAGCACCATTTGTAACAATACAATACAAGAAGCTAGCATATGAAAATGTAAACCATGTTCTACTGATGGAACAAACAACATTATATCCTTATTCACAACCAATTATACTGAAAATAATGATCAGCTTGTGTATACAATAAATTAAACTATCAGAGCCATGTAAAAGATCTATCTAATCACTGAAAGCTGCATACTCCCTCCCTTAAGTAAAAGCAACAATAAAAAGGCAGATAACCATTTAAAAGACAAATATGTATTCATATATACCAAGAAATACAGACCTACTCTTTAAGGTTGGTCAAGCGTTAATGTTATTAAAATATTTTGTAACTGATCAGAGCATTTAGACATTAATCTCTGATTAATGTTTTATTACCTAAATTAAAATGCCTAAGTGAAGTTCATATTCTGATTGAATTTAAATTGGGGTACATTAATGCATACTTTAATCCTGGCACATTTGTTGTAGCCTGACACCAAGACCAACTAACTGAAGTTACACTCAAGAAAAATAATATTTCAATGGATCTTGAATTAACAGCAACTTCAGAGGTATGATCTGATGCATATTCATTTGAAAAAATCCAAGCAGTTCTTTCCACAAAGCAGAAAACTCCTGAAATCTGAAATTATCACAGCTGCCTTCACCTAAACTATCTTAAAAGAAGTTGTAACTTCAGAGGTTTTCATAAAATAGTCTCTCATGTCTAGCCTTAAACCCACAGCTGCAAAGTATGCTGTTATCTAGTTGTCTTGGGGCAGACTTGTATTTTAGAATCACAGAATGTTCTGAGTTGGAAGGGACCCACAATGATCATCTCCTGTCCCTGCATAGGACAATCCCAAGATTCAGACCATATGTCTGAGGGCCCTGTCCAAATGCTTCTGAAATATTGTCAGGCTTGATCACGACCACCTCCCTGGGGAGCCTGTTCCAGTGCTTCACCATCCTCTGGGTGGAGGACCTTTTCCTAATGTCCAACCTAAACTTGCTCTGGCACATCTTCCTGCCACTTCCCCTGGTCCTGTCATTGGTCACCAGAAAGAAGAGATCAGTGCCTGCCCCTTCTATTTTAAAATTGAATTCTAACTATTCTCATCTCCAAATGATTTTTTAAAGCAGTAGTTGCGACTTGAGTCTTTACAAAGGTTATAGGGTAACCACCAGGTTTTGTATCCTGACAGCTATTACCATATGTTGTGGCTGGGCGTGGGAGAGGGGAACAGGGAGAAGCTGATGGCTGTTGCTTTATTTTCATCAGCTTGACACATACATTGTTTTGTACATATAAGAATCTGGAAAAACCTGAAGCACATGAAAGTAGCCATCAGCTACAGTCTACCTGCAGCTCCACTGAGTGTAACAAAAAGTCACTACAAGAGAAGGTACACATTGAACAGGAGCACTATAATGAAGAAGTATCAGGGACACAGAGAACTTTACAAAGGCCGAGTAGACAGCAGAAGTGAGATAAACACAACACAAACAGCATTAATCTTAGAAAATGGAAATGAACTCCTAATGTTAGAAGAGGGGTAGAAAAGTAGTAGTAGCAAGCAGTTCTGATATCATACATACGCATGTACCATCAATCGGCAGGAGCTGAATTCTAAATCAAACAGTAATTTCAACAGGTCTACAAGCTTATATAAAAAATTTCTGATAAAAAAAGCATTCTCAACCACAGTTCAAGAAATATTCCCAAGGTACCTACTATTTTGCGCTTGATCATAAACAGAGGAATTTTTGCATGCAGAGGGGTTACAGACAACTCCTTGTGGACTGTTGATAAATACAATCTTCTTTTAATATTTCCTAAATCAGTTATCCTATAAAAGAAAAAGCAGGAGAGAACAGAACAGATCTTTGTCAATTCAATAATCCAGTATCTTTGGGCAATCACAAAAAACCCTATTCGTATGCAGAACCTTTATGTCAGTGATAGCAAATACAGAATTTAAGAATTACTTCTTTTACAAGATGAGTAATAAGGTTTCTTCCTTAAATTCAAACTTGGTGGCTATATTCCTGCATATATAAAATCACTTTACATGCTAATTTTATTTCAACAGTCTACCCTCTTCACTAGATTTCCATAGCTCTTCAGACTATGAAAGAATTCAATTTGTATGAGCTGAGAACCCAGTAGCCTTTAATAATCACACTTGTTTCTGCCCCTTAAGCTTTTGTTATCTTGGGACACACTGTCACCTGCTAACTAGAAAAACATTATTTGCTTTCTTTTCTTAAAAATGCCTCTGTCATTTTATATAGACTCTTTGTTGGCTTAAAGAGCGACATAAGACATTGTCTATCTGTTTTACTTCCTGAGCACGGATCTTCAAGTGTGAATTCTAATACAGAAGTTTATTGCTCACTATTCAGGTCATCTCACAATGATACCAAGGGCACTGAATTTGAACATTTCTAACAGATTCAGACCACAGCCATGATCACAAAGATTACGTTTCCTTTAAATTGATAAAGAGTCTCATTTTTATGTTCTGTTTCCTTCAAGTCTTGTAAGTAGCAGTACTGGTTTTGGCTGTGATAGGGTTAAATATGCCCTGCCAGCAAGTAGGTTGGGGGTACTCAAGAAGTTGGAAGGGGACACAGTTGGGACAGCTGACCCCAACTGACCAAAGGGATGTTCCACACCATATGACACCAGGCTCAGCAATAAAAACTGTGAGGAAGGAGGAAGGGAGGAAGTTCAGAGTTATGGTGTTTGTCTTCTCAAGTAACCACTATGCATGATGAAGCCCTGCATTCCTGGAGATGGCTGAACACCTACCTGCTGATGGGAAGTAGCAGATGCCTTATTTAGCTTTGGTTGCACATGCAGCTTTTGCTTTACCTATTAAACTCTCTATTTCCACCCAAATTTTCACACTTTTACCTTTGGGATTCTTTCCCCCATCCCACTGCAGGGGGAGTGAGAGAGTGGCTACGTGGTGCTTAGCTACCTACTGGGGTTAAACCACAGCAGCAGCACAACTTTGATATCCCCCAGCAGTCCTACCTTATTATACCAGAGAACAGACATTAAAGGCTGCAATCTGTATGGGGAAATGATGATTAATTTACCTATTATTTTTGAACAAGCCTATTTCTAACAGATGGGTATTTCTCTGTAATTAGCAGCCCCTCTGAGGAGATGACAAATAATTACAACAAACAACTTTCTGTCACTACCTAGTGTTGTTAAAAATAATTACTCATAATAATTATATTTAAATACTGGGTTTTACTTTAAAATTGTGAGACTACCCCGTAGATTTTTTTTTTTCATTTTTACTACCGAAAACACTTTTTATTAGTAAGGATTACCTGTAGCTTAACTTATGAAGTGTTACAACCCAAAATTTGCAGACAAACATCCTGAAATGTTCTTAGGATTCCTTAGATCAACTTAAGAGGTCATTAACTCTGGAGCAAGTTACACATTTTAGCTATTTTTGGCAATTTGAGAGTTCAACCAAGGACAATACAAAATATATTGCAAGTATGTAAACATCAAAAAGTTCTACTAGTACAGGTGATAAAAAACACAGGAGTGCTTTCTTGTTACCCCATAGTCATTAAGACCACCATGCAAAGCAAACAAGAAGTCCAACAGCTTTCCAGAACTTGTTGATTCTTTCCTTTCTCTTGCAGACAATCTAATCTCTAATCCATCCATCCACATAATATGGGTGGGCAAATCAAAACAAATGGGAAGATTCTACTGCCTGTTTCATTTTGAAAGACTAGCAGTTCCTCTCATAAATCACACGCACTTGAAAGGCAGGAATTTCGCTACTGTGCCAGGGGAAGAACATTATAGCCTCACCACTACTATCATTTGACATAACAGATTTCAGTATCAGCTGCACATATATTTACAGATGGATGAATAATACCATTAAGTCCTTGAAAAGTGACTTCATCAGAAGACCTTACAGTGTCTTACAATGCTAGCATTCTGGCCTTAAGCTTACTTTTGAAGAAATTTAAGCAAGATGTGAAATAATTCACCTAAGATCATCAGCAAGTTGGCTGCATAGCTAAGTCTGTGCCCCAGGTCAAGGCTTAGTTCCATCCATCACTTTGCTTCTCATATATCCTCAGATGAAAAAAAAACTATGGATACAGCTTTCAGAAACTCTCCACTCTGTTCTAAATCTTGATGTTCAGAAGTGCTAAGAAACTGAGGTACTAAAGGAATTCAAAGAACTGAAGTAGCAGTTGCTTGAAACTCCCCTAGATCTTCTGATTATGTGTAGAGCTGAGCAATTGTGCTGAGGAACTAAGTAGTTGCAGTAACCTGACTACTGAAACTCAAATAAAAATACTATTCCTAAAAAAATCAAATTAAGTAATTCTTAATGGAGAATATTGCTTAAAGTGATGCTACAACAAAGTACTAGGAGTCTAGATTTAAGTCATGCATCTCCAAACAACTAGCAATAAAAACTTAAGTTCACTTTATAAAATTAGTTCAATATATTTAAATTTTATTATTTTTATATGAATAGTTTTTTTTCTCCCTGCTGAAAAACATAAGGTATCTTAGCAATAAAACGGCCATTAGTAAATGTACAGCTCAGTTACATTCTGAAGTGCAATACAAAACACATTCATTTAGATAAAAATACACACATTGATATCAGACTGTCATATAAGTTTAAAATATTATTTTTTTGTGATGGTATCCATGCTGTAAAGAAACAAACCTTAGATATATAGTTATAATCACACCTAAAGAAGTTTAAAAATTATTTCAGTAAATAAATTTTAAATAATGCAAATATTTATATTCTACAGGTGAGAGTAGGTGAAATATTTGAATAGGTAAAATTGGGGAAAGATTATGTTTTTAAGTTTCTGTAACTTTATTTCCTGAGAGAAGACAGATAATTATTTGAGAGCTGGTGTAACTTTCAGACTTTTCAGTTACAGTGCTTCTAAGACAATAAAAATAAAACAAGGGTCTGATGAAACTCTTTTCTGAAATAATTCAGGCAATGAGAATTAGGACATTAGAACTCTCACTTGTAAAATGACTCAAGAGTACTTGTGAAACTCCTTTTTTTGTGAAGAAAAAGCACAATCTATGTTAAACCTACAAAGGCAAGAAACATCTGCAGCACACATCTCTATTTTCAAAGATGCATTAAAAAAATCTATATAGGAGTTAAAGTATTTTTATTATGTCTGTGCTTGAGCATTTATATCTAAGGGTCAGACATGTGATAGAAAAGTAATGAGACCATGTTGAGAAAAATGAGGTAGTCAACAGGAAAATCAACCTCATTTATAATAATATTCCTGTGATCAGCAGGTGCATAACTCCCCCAGCTATGGTCATTAACTGCATTCATTTCACACTTAACATCTACATTTGCAAACCATTTGAAAGTAAAATTACCTTCCAATTCAATTTCCAATTTTATTTTATATCTTCAACTTTGATTGACTATTCTCCTCACAATGCTAACTCTAGTGAGATTGCAAGTAAATGGCAGAACTACCCAAGAGTACAGATAAACTCATCTTCTCAGATTACCTATTCACTTTGCTTCTGTATGTATAATAATTTATAACCATTTGTTAATGTTCAATTCAAGGCTTAAAATGAACTTAGAAAGAATGATGCTGGACTGTTGAAGGGATGCTTCATTTATCAGGCTCACTTGTTCTTAAAATTAAAGTGTTTTTCTCCTTCTAAATGACTTAAACTGGAAGTTTACCAAACATGAAAGTAGGTATTTCATTGATGTTGCTAAGCAAAGAGCAACTCCCATACAATTTATTATTCATGGAAATCTCTGTGTATCCTGGCCAAAATCCAGATACAATCCTTTGCTAAAGATTAACTATTAGTGTGTTGGTATATTAGTACTTCAAAGTTGTAGTGCCTTTTTCTCCATAAAAAAGCATGTGCTTCAGAAACTCTAGATAGTATTGTCATCTTCATTTTAAAGAGAGAAAAACAAAGGAATAGCAATGGTCAGCTGATGTGCCATGCTTACAGATTCTTAATTTTCCTTATTCAGGAGGAGTTTGTACTTCCAAGTATGTTTTCTTTTATTCACTACTTGTGAATCGGTCTCATAGGAGACACTACATTATTGAACTGCCTGCCTGACCATTTGAAATTCAGAGCACTGTATTCTGCCCTGCTACTGGGCAGAATTAGACACCATGTTAGTCTTCTCTCTTAACTCTAGCAGGATGTGATGGGTTTTATTTTTTTACATTAAACTTTCTCACAAGGTACCATAAAAGAGATTATCATCAAAATAACTGAAGATTACAACATTCAACTTTTTAGCCACTAGGATCTTCAGGTTTAGTGAAAACTTAGTGTTTCAGGATGCTTATTCAGTCCCACCATCATAATTCTTTCACACCTTGGTAAATGTATCCATTGACAAATTTTGAACCTATATTAATAAGGTTTTTTTTCCTTACAAAAATATGAGAAACTTATTCTGACTTCTCCCCTTCAATAACTGAAGAAAAAAAAATTACCCTCTTGAGAATATTCTTGTTTACAGCTACAAAATACCTGAGGGGAAAACAAAACCAAAACAACAAAAGTCTTCTGCAAAAGACACACTAAAAACAGCCTATAGCAATTGAAGAAAAACAGAGTATACACAAATATTCTTTCAAAGATTGAGTTACTTTTGCTTTTTCAGAAAAGTAGCAAGATCTGTAATACTGAAGATTTAACAACTGTCTGCTACATTTACAACTGGCAGTTATATTCAGCATTACTAATAGCTTTGCCATTATTTGCTTCAAAAAGGCTGCATAAATGACTTGCTTTCTAACTTAGTTGTGATTTTATTATGCTTCACCAAATTTTTCATCCAAAAATCTATTTTACACATTTTTTTAGGCAGATCAATACCCTGATTGTTAATGCGCCACCTAACAAAGTATCTAAAATTCTACTTAAATTTCTTCCAAAGAAAAGGCAAACCAGCTAATTTAAAGAGTTGTTTACACGTTCAGTATTTGTGACAGGAATCCTGCATGACTGGTTGACAGCAGCAGGTTAGAAGGTTTAACTCAGCTGATGCCAGCAATGATGGATGGCCTCGAAGAAATTCTTGTTTGCTGATCAGATCAATCACTGAACAGAATGCAAAAGAGAGGATGAGGTTCAAACTAAATTCATATTTCCAATTCTATGCAGAAAGCAAGAGGAAAAAGTGTACCATAAAGCATCATGTGCAGCTATTACAAAACGTGCCAAAGTAGTTTGTTTTTGGGTTTTGGTTTTTTTTTTACATCAAGTATATTTGATGACTTGATACGCTATCCATTTTCACTCTAAACTTGTCAAAGATTCAGTAGTAAGTAGTCAGATTATGTAAGAAACCATCTTCAAACATTAAACTCCAGGAAGCAACAGCACAATCAATATTCTGTCCACAAACGAGCAAGACATTCCTTTCAAAACATCTGAAATGAAAAGAACTGAATGGCAGTCACATGAGGCAAGAAGGACTTTTCTTCATTATTTACTGAATTATCACGAGTCTGCTAGGATAAAATAAACTATTTTGCAATTCCTGAAGGAGTTTATAGGTGCATCAATAAGTTACAGTAGATTTCTAGTATAAAACAGTACTAAATTTATTTTTAAAAAGTTTTATTAACTTCTGCATACAGTTGCACTAAGTGGGGAACAAATGTGATTGTACTTTTTAGGCATATACACCTTTAAGAAGCTCCAGTTGAATGCACTGATGAATTTATTTAATTATCAGAATAAGTATGATTTGATTATAACATCAGTAATTAAGTAATTAAACAGTCACACTGGATTAAACATGTATTCTTTTGTAAAATGTATATGGAAATGTATTAAGTGAGATTACTACATCCACATAGACATTGAAATCACTGAACTTAGGAGAAGGAGAGAGAATTAGGATTTCTATCACGCTCTCTGACAATATTAATTTAAAATCATGGAGGCTGACAAAAAGAAAAAGAAATAAATGAAAAATAGCAGTTATAACTATTTAAATATAGTAAATTTATATGTTAAATACAGTAATACATGTTTGTTTACATATATAATAACATACAGTACATGTTTACATAAACCATACATAGCAAATACAAAATACATGTATTTAAATTTATAGAAGTACGTAAGAATATTATAGAAATAAATATATATTGTTATTAAAGGGAAATAGTAATGGTGGGATTAGAAAGTAGTGAGAAAAAAATGAAGAAAAGTCTAGATATGAGCTGGTAAGAGAAAGGGGAAAGAAAGGTGGGAGAAGTAGTAGAAAATTAGAGGTCTCTCAGGCACCAAAAAAAGAAAGTGATGAAAAAAAATGAGTAGAAGAAAAGTAGAGAAGAGGTTCCTGTTAATAGGTATAGATCACAACCAAACTCCATATGACACTACAGAAAATCTGAATTCCTATACCAGCCAGTCTCTGTCATCTCTCTAGGAATGTTTATGAGAAGCAAATCTATGTACTGGGTTTCTGTTTACTGCATGACATATCCTGTTTGTTTTGTCTGTTTTGTTACACACTTTTAGAAGTAATGCAGCAATTAAAACCACAGAAGCAGAAAGTGTAACCAGAACTACACTCAGGAAATTCAAAGAACAGAAAAGTCAGTGTGATTTGACACACAAAGAAGCTCTCTGTGTTGCAGAAAAAAAATAAAGGATGACTTTAAAGTCATGTATGCTTATATTAGAGACACATAATTTTAAATAATTTTTTTGCCATGATATTAAGGTAAAAAAAACTACCTTGAAAGGAAAACATAACAGAAAATGTATAAAGGCTATGGTAGTAAGAGAAACTAAAGAGAAAGGGAAGTTGCTTGAAAACCTGTTGTTGTCTTGTCTATTCAATAATTACCAGCTTTCCTCCCAACAACTTTTCACTTTAAATTAGTAAAATGTTAGTATTTTCTGCACCAAGATCTTGATGTATAGAGTCAAAGCTGTCTCCAAAACAAGTATTTTGAGCCCAATGTTCTCTCTCAAATTTCCACACTCTATGGAAAAGCAAAAATATTCTCTGGTGAAGATGTGTGCTAAATAAGTTAATTTATCCTTTGAAGATTTTCTCAGTGTTCAGATTCTAAAATCATGTTAGAAATTAAGCATGCCATGGAAGAATGTATAATGTTACCAGCATGATGTAGGTTATAAATGCCCACTAACTCACACACCACTGAGACCAAAATACCTGCATGGTTTGTTATAAATCCACTGAGGAATTTTAATAAATGTGAATCAACTCATACTAGCATATTTTTTGTTAAAATAACATAATATTGCAAGATGACTCTACTTATGTGAAGGCACAGAATATAACAGAATTACCTAGCAACATCAAATAGCACACTATCCTAATTTCATGAAATAGATTAATCATATTATGATGAATACTGCTTCTCTACTACAGTATAGCTGAAATTATATTTTCTCAGCATCTAATTTTTTCCTCTGACTTAAACCTACAAGAGCTGTTTCCCCTTACTCCAGACACAGGAGACTTCAAACAATCAAGTCTGTACCTATGGGTACGGATGAGTGCAAAGTTACAGAAAGACAAACAAAAATGAAATTCTGCACTAACTTTACTCAGTTTAGTTGCATAACCCATTTCTCCTTGCAGGGTTTCTAATGGCATATTTCTTTCGATAATCCAAATTTTAGGTGTTCTACTGGCTACCAAGCTGAGTGGGTTGTGCTAGTTATACACAGCTGGTACCACTAGGAGTGAGATGGTGTCCCAAGACTGACAACTGCCCAAGTTTAAACCTGTATTAAATTATTTCACAGTAAACTAATGAAAACAGGTCTGTTTCAACTGTATCTCTCTTTCCTTACAGTATGGACATAATTATACCAATTGAGCACTCCAATTGTTCTAGCTTTTCACCATTTGTTTGGTTGTTCTTTTCTCTCCTCCAATCATTAGAATATTTTTTTTTTTGTGTGCTGAACTAAAGGACCCTGGAATAGTTATTTATAAATATCTCTTATGAATTTTCAGGAGACTCATGAGCCTGTATTTTCATGTTTGATAAATTCATGTCCTATTTCTGCAGATTTTTCACCATCTTCATTCACGATTTTTAGAGCCTGTTCTATCTTCACAGGAATGTCACTATTTAAAACATCTAAGAACTAATGATCTCATTAGCTTAATTACTTCTTATTGACTTGATAAGTCACCATGCTTTAATGCAAAATCTGCCACTACAATTAATGGCTGCAATCAAGCATTTGCTTTACATTAAGTAGTCAGGGAAATTTTATGCATCTTACAGTAACTCAGTGGAGAAGTCTTGTCCCAGCGGCACAAAAATCTGAAGTGTCAGAAATTGCTGGATCAGTCCCACTAGAAACAGGAAAAAAATTAAATACATGTGCTGTGTGCATGCAGATGCACATTTCATCACCAAGTATCTCAATTTGGTACCATCCAGCTATGCTCCTGCAACACTATTTCCCAAGGTTCACACAACATACAGACATGAGAAAAACCTGAAGAAAACCAATTCAAACTGCAATAAAAGTGTTCTTTTAAAAGTGCCATCTGTGGCTTTGGTGGGATTCTCATGAAAATAAAAGGAATTTTTTTATTTTTTTTTTTTTACTTACAATTCTACATTGTGTTCTAAGAGCATGTAGACACCAAATATGCCATAGAAATGATAAAATAAAGTAATACTATTCTATCAAGATTATCTTGTAGTCATGTGAAACTTGTACATTGTCACAAATGTGAGAACAACTTATTAAACGATTTCAAAAAACCCTCGGGTAAAAAAAAGAAAGCTTCTGATTTTTAGAACCATAGCAAAAGAGCTTAACTGAGGGAACAAACAAGAAATCTTTCAGGATTCAGATAGCTCCCTATCAAGGGGAAACAGACAGTACAGAGCTGTCTGAACTGAACCTTATGTTATTTTCTTAGTTATTCATCAATGAGAGCATGGGCTGCTCTTCATTGACTTAACCAGACCCAACAGTAACATTAGTTTCTCTTCTAAAGAATGCCAATTTAGAACTTCCTCCTTTTGTGGGTCAAATGACACTTTAAAATTTCAAATGATATTTGTATTTATAACTTCTTTTATTTTGGAAGAGTGTTCAAAGATTACAGTAAGATTGGGAAATCATACTTGACACAAATGAAATACTTGAGGTACACACAGTTCAAGAGAGAGGAAGAGACAGAGGGAGACAGAATGGTAACAGATGGAAATTTGATGGTAGTATTGCAGCACTAGCTAAAGTAAATTTAAAACCAAACCATTCTTAGCAGTGACAATCCACAAGAATAATTCTCAATCCTCATTTTAGGCTGCAATAGTTTATTGTAACATTGACAATAAACAAATTAAAGATGTATTTCTCAGAAAGATAGATTAGACTAATATTTATTATACTGAAGATAACAGTAAATTTCCTTTATAAAAATCAGATTACTCTCCAAGGTCTTAGTGCATGACCAAATTATGCAATTTCTTATTTATTTTTAGTGTACGTTTGGAAAAGCTAATTTCTAATTATATACCCTGCATGAGAAGTATAGTAGAGGATTGTTGTTTCGTTTGACTAAAATCACCATCTCAATTTTTCTTCAAAAAAGCAAGCAGTTAATTCTAAACCAGCTTGATTCATTACTATAAGCCTTATAAGATACAGTATCCTGCAGTCAAGTTTAAGGCATAAATTATGATAATGATACTGTGTACCCCAGGAAACACAAACTGCTTTGATTCTGGCTTATCCTAGTTCAAGTAACAGACAACCTGGGGAAGCACTCCATATTACCCAAAGACTGATTACATAAATGCAGCTCAGATTTGGGTATAGCTTCCTTTTACTGCTAGTGCTCATTTGATAAATAAAAGTAAAAATACTTTAAAAAGTAAAATGAGAAAGGGGATAGTAATCTATTCCACATTCTGTAATGCCAACAGAATTATTGACTTTAAGTGCTGAATGGAGTCAGAAGTTACTTGCTAGACATCAGCCTGTAGCAGGATCAGGTACAGAAGTGAATCTAGCAGCACTAGGACAATATGTATCAACAAGGATCTCCCCTACAACACTTACTTAATATGGCATTTCTATTTCTTTTACTTATTTGTAACTGACCTGCTAAAAAGAAAAATCACTTTGCTAATACTGAATTACGCTGAAAGTATGGGAGAATAATGTAAGTTTTACATTCCAATATAAGACTGATTTAATAAACAGAACATCAGAGATTTAATTCTTTGATACTTACAAGTTTGCTTAATTTCCTTTGGTAGCTGCATTTTGTTGACTTGACTGCTTCCTTCAAGTACAAAAACAAAGCCTTTTACTTCTTTATCATATTCCTACAAAAAGGAACAATAAACAAACATAAGAATCTAAATAGAATTCTTCTCCTCACAGCCAACCATGCTACTAACATGCAAAGCTACTTTTTTTAAAATCACAAAAGGCAGACAGCACTGCAAGTATGACAATAGTTCAAATATAACAGTAATAATATAACCCATAGAATTATGTCCTCTACTTGCTTGTTTCATGAACAAATACTGCTGACCAACAGGACTCATGATCCAATGGGCCTATCTGAAGCCATTAGTTACCAGAGTAGCAAAATTACTTTCTAAATATTTAAACTATAATATTACACTGTGACCAACCTAGTCTGCAAGCAGGCATAAAGAACTAATTTAAGTAGTCATTTAGTCAGTCATAACGACAGAACTGCAAGTGACAACTCCACTGTCAGGTCAAAGCCCTCATTACCTTCTAATCTTAAGCTTCATTCACATTTTTCTGTTTTATAGTCTGGGTTTTATAAGTTTCTTTAAAAACTTACTTTCCATATAGCTGATGGATTGCCAAAAAATTTCCATTTTGCGCCTGGGTTCTTGCCTTGAGCACTGAATATTTCAACAAATGGGCCACCCTATGATAAAATGGTATAAAGATACATCATCCAACCAAGTGTTCAGCACAATCATCAATGGTCAAGATGAGCCCATAAGAACAATCCCTCCCCACATTAGGTTGTTACTACTATAGAGTCAGTATTACTGATCAGTCAGACAGCAGAATAGTAATAACAGCTCCTAGACTACTATAATATAGCAATCCATATAGTCAGTATTTGGTTTTACTAGAGGATCAGAACATAAAATTGAAGGAATACCATGGAATATTTTAAATTTTATTTAAAATGTCACTCTCTAAAAAGCAAAATTATTGTAAAAATTCTAAAAACATGCAGGAGATTAGTAACTTATATTTGGATATGATTTATTTCTACAACTCACCAAATGAAGTGAGTTTTAAAACATACTGCTAAAAAGTAAGAACTGTTACATATTGGATGTTTTATCTGCTTTCCTATGGAAATGAAGTTTACACAATTTGTCCACATACGTGAACATGTTTGTCACAGTCTATGTATGTGAGTATGTCAAAGACATTTCCCAGTAACATTTCTACCAGTCACCAAATTCCAGTCTGATTTAGTCTCAGAAACTCACAACCATTTACTCTCTTTTCTGGGAGGCCTCGTAGTAGATCTGATCCCACCAGCATCACCATAAAAAGGTGAGGGCTGTGCTCATGTTGCAACCTTCATGAGGCATCAGAGAATTAATACTGGAAAGATTACAAATGCCTCTGCCAGGTGAAAACTCGTTACACAGAGCATGTGCCCTATTAGTATCAAGGAATCTAACCACAGGCTCTTGGAGAGGGAGGCTTTAACACCTCTGCTTAGAGAATTATTTGCTTCAATATTTTTCCTATTTGATGTCACATTTTTTTGTGACATTTGATTTACTCAGCCTCTAGTTTGATAAGCATTTTTTCAGCAGCATGGTTGACCTCATCAGTCTTTACAACTCTGCCACTCCCTTCTCATTCCTAGTTGCCTGCACTCCCCAGTTCTTCATGCTCAGCTGCCCAAACAATTGTACACAAGTCAGAATGAGCAAGAGGGGTGAGCAGTCTTATCAGCAAAATAAATGCTCTTCAAGTTAAGCTTTCAGAGAACATCAGCAATGCATTCATTGTCTTCGAATTAGACATTTTCATCTGCCCACCCACTTGTGGCAGTTTCCACTCACACAGCTAACCCCAGTGACTAGACTTAGTAAGTTCTAAGGAAATTGAAAACTGTATTTTATAAACTGCACTCATAAAATATTTTTAATTTAAAATGGACAAAAAAACCCTTAAAAATATGGAATACTATTAATTTGAAAGTTATCTGACATATTTAAGGACTATAGGATCAGGCTCTTGGAAAGTTTACAAAAGATTCTTAAGTGCCAAGTTGTATGGGCTTGAAGAAATCTTAAAAAATATGTGGCTTTTCCTCCCATATTTAAAAATACATGTTGTTAATACTGCAGCCCCTGAGTGGGCCCTGACTTGAGGTTAAGCTAACTGAAGAGACCATGGAAAGCTACTGAGAAAGCACTGAACAAACACTGATGCAAGAAGCTGACAAAAGTTACTTAGTGCTGTGGAAGACGGTTGATCTCATGGATGACCAAGGGGGAGTTAAGCAAGAAACTGTCAAAGTCCACAATCAATTGGAGAGGAGTATGGGGCATCTTTTGGGGATCACAATCCTGCAAAGCCAACAGCACCTAGGCCACAGTATCAGAAATACCATATAAAGCTGAAATTGCCTAGGTAAGAGCATCAGAAATATAAATTTCGGGTACAGATTTAGCACATCTGAGACCAGTGGGGAAAACATAATTAGGCCTAATTAGGGGTGGGTTACTCTCTGTGGAGGGGACTGGTGCAGAGAAAGGGTGGCAAAGCATTGTGAAAAGGAAACAGTACTAAGGGATAAGGTTTGCAAGTGATGTGACTAGTACTGTCACAACCCTGTGGTTGACCAAGAGAATAAACCAACTCCTCTTTTCTGACCAGACCTGAAGAGTTGAGCCTGCTTCCACCACTGGGTGGGAGCAGATGGTGTGCCATCCCTGGCTCACAAGGGTATAGGGACAGACAAAAAGCCATTGGTAACACCATGCCGGTGTCTGTTCTAGACCTGACAGCATCAGCAGCTACCCACTATTTCATAACATTGTTATAAAAATATTGAACAATGAAACATACCAAAACATTTCTAAATCTGGGATATTCCCCACCCCCTGCCCCCAGAATAAGCCATTTTAATTGAGTTCTCAGAGGTGAAATGGAAGAAGATAAAAAATAAAACAATTTGTTTTACCTGATACTGATTTCTGAACATTTTCCAGCTTTCACAGGCAAAAAATAATTTCAGCTTCTCAGTCAGTAAAGACACTTACAGGCTATGCTAAAAATAAACAAAAAACTTTATATAGGATTTGACATGAAATAATCCTATAATGAAACACCAATCATATTTAAAAATATATGAATACTATTATGAAATACTTTTCAGGAGTACAGAATATGTTATCAACTACAGAATGTTACCACAAAGGAATTAAGATAAAAAAAAAATACTAATATTGATGCTGTCTTGGAAAATGTTCTCTTCATGCATCAAGTACTCAAGGCTGCCTTTTCTTATATTCCAAGTAAAACTAGTAATTTTATGCTAGCCCTTATTTTTAACAATGAAGGCTTTCTGACACTTTAAAAATGCTTGAAAAATAATGTTTAATATACTTTTTTTATTACTCTGTTATCAAGTGCCCACTGGAAAACATTAGACTCCATTAAAGAGGAGCTAAACATTTAATATAGAGAAAGAGAAACATGTGGCACAGCTGCAATAGAAACCACTCCATCTAGAGATATTTGGCAGAGACTTCTGAGACAAATTATCTTCTTTCACATTCAGTATTCTTCTTTGAGGATCATCAGTTTAAGACTCAAACCAAGCACTTCAGTTATTTGAGGGCTGCTAAAGTCAATGTGAATTAAGAAGTGTCTGCACATTCCTCTCTGATCATGCTGAGTGACTGCAATTTCACCTGAAGTCAACAGAAAGTGAAGGGACCCTGAACATAAAAAGTAGTTGTCAATCTCCAAAGACAGGTAGAACCAGTCACAAGAGACAACATGAGCCTTCCTTGTGAAAACTGAAAGTGCTCATCAACTCTGAGAAAAATCCTTCCAGAAGCCTGTCTCTCATTCATTTGATATACTTTATTTATGTTAGTTGCACTAGTTCAGGCTTAGACCACTTAAAGAATAAAATTATTTTTAATTACTGTTTTTTTTTGAGTCTGAAATAATTTTCTTAACAGAAAAAAAAATATGCTGACTAGGAGAATATAGTATAGCTTCTCATGAGGAACAGTTAAACTCTCACAACCAGAAAGTGACAGAAAGTTTTAAAAATTTTCTAACAATATACATGACTGAATGCACTACAAATTCAGTGACAATATGCATGAGTTCATAAAGAATGTACACATCTAAAGGATTAGAGCAACATTCTATTTTAAAAAGTATATATACTTTTAATATATATATAAAATATTTTATATCATTCATTTAGGAAAACATGATAAAATCTATTGATGTGTAACCACAATTATTTTAATCAGCAACAAATACTTTAAATCTTAAAAGTTGTCTGTAAATATAATAAAAATGGAAAAAAATCAGATATTGGAAATTTCTCCTATGCTGTTGCCAGGAACATTAGTTCATTTTAAACTTTTCGATTATAAGGAAAATAAAATTTAGAAACCATAGAATTTGTATCAGGTCTATCAAAACCTGTAATTAGTATTTTGATTGCACTACTTTAATACTGTCACTGCACATCTAACAGACCAAGTGCATTATTTGTCATTTTAGACCATTTTCTATACAAGTTTCCCACTTGTTCAGTTGGTATAATTGTTTTTTGGTTTTTTTTTCCCCAAGAGTGACATTAATAGCTGTATTCAACTATTCTAAATTACTAACTAGACATTTTAGAAATGCCTTTTAAAGAATGCACTTCTAAAGCAACTGTATTATTTCCTCCTTCTGTATATATTTACTTTGCATAAAGAATAATAATTTTGGAAATCACTGTTCATTCACCTTTTTTTGTCTGCAGCTCTAGCTTTGCTGTTATCTACTGCCTTTAAACAAGACAGAACTACTCAAACTTGCATGATTCGATTCATGTCTTAGTGAGACGTAATGGCACCGTGGAATTAACCTCAGAGTGACCTACTGTTTTGATTCACTTTGCCAGAGCTAAATGCAAAGGACTGATAGTGAAAGACAGGCAGAAGTCATGTCCTCCTACGGTACATATTTACAATGAGTTTATTACTGTAACTCACACAGTCAGGCACTTGTCCTTCTAGTACTAAGGATTTCACCATCCCCCAGTTTTTATTTATTGTTAAGTGAAGCAGGTGTGAAAGAAGACACTGCTTTTTCCTTGGAGCAAAGCCCTTTCACTCACTTTTGCTTTAAAAATCAGTTCCAGATCTGCCAAGCATCATGAACCTAACACAAACCTCACATAATTTGCAGCTGTGTTATGCCTTATTACATCTCAGAGAAAAATATTAATACTAAATAAACATGAGGGACCCTGATATAAGCGACACTATGAAAAGTATAAAGTTCTGAGATAGAAAAAAGCAACTTATGTCTTTCAGAGAGTACTACTAATATTCTGGCAAGAAGTCTTCTGCTGATGATAATCATACTATATATTCTGGAACAAACCTTTAGTGTGTAGGATGCAGAGGTCAAGTTTCTTCATTACCATCCCATCTGTCAGGATGGAAAGGCTAAAGCTACTTAGCAAGGTGGACAGCTACAGTATTTGCAGACACTGCTGTAATCAGAATTACACGTAAGACATCAAAAGTACTACGTTTTCTCCACTGTTTTCTCATGAAGTATACCTGCCTTTCTCAAAAGTCAGACCACTAATGGCAAATTGCACAGGGTTTTGATGGAAGGCGCAAACAGCTCTGCATGCAGCGCAAGGAGAAGCCATCTGGATATATTTATTCACTTAAGTTCAAGGCTATGCTAATATGCTTTGCCTCTGAGTAGTGCTTATTAGCTTTGCTGTGACATCACTAATTTATCTCCACACTGTATTGTATGGAAATAGTCCTCAGTTGGCTCTGAGCACAGAAAGCACATACATGCCCTGGTAAAACACCACAAAGACACACACTTATATCATACACTAATTAATTCTTAAATTTAAGTAGAGGAACACGTCTCTGAACTGCATAGGTCTCATTCAAATTATACGCTTAAGATAGAAAAAAATGATCAAATAATTAAAGGCTTATAAGGGATCACAGAAAGAGTAGCAATATATATGAAGAGATAACATCTAGGAAGTATGTGGTAGTAAAAAGAAATACAAAAACTGTGGCATGATGAACATTTACTGAAGGACTAGAAATCTCATTATCACTAGAAATCTTTAACTTGTCAAATGAAGTTCACTTTTACTGCTTAAAATTTGTCAACAATGCAGTTGTTTTTTAAACTCTCATACACATGGACAAGCTAGGTTATTTACTAATTTGCAGAACATATTTTACACAGAGCTGGGAAACTGACGACCCTTGTAACTATCAAATTTGTAACAAGAGGGGTTTTTCTAAACATTAGTGAAAGGTAAACTAGACCCAAAGTTTGTAAGCATTTGTGTTTTTGACAACTCATTCATACTAAAAAGCTGGTTACTGTAAACACACCAGTGAAATGTCAGTTTGTTTTTCATAAAGGCAAAAAATACTGCAAGTGACACTGCATACACTTTTGCTCATAGATTGCTTACTTGTGGCTTCCCAATTTCCATTATGTTACTACAAATGAAGACTAGAAATTTCCTTTATATTAAGATTGGTACCTACTAAAAACATTAAGTGAATGACATATTTGTAATGTAATTACTGAGATAATATTAAGAGGTACTTTCATTACATTGTATCATTGTCTTTAGTTATAGTAGCCTATGCTTAAAAACAAAATAGAGAATGGTCTGGAAACTTGATGGTTGCAATATTTTTCCCCTTTTCATCTTTCCTCCTCCCAGCCTCTCTAGAAATTCTAAAAATCAAGAGTGCTTAAAATCCTGAGGGACTATTTTAGAAAAAAAATCAACAATACCTTGAAATATAAGTCCTCAATTTTTTGCATATTTGTCAAATAAATAGATATTTTGTGACATCTTTATAGAATCCCATAATGTAACAGTTCTCTCATTTTTCAGTCACAGATCATACTTAGTTTTTTTACTGCTCTGAACCATGTGCTTTAGTACATCTGTCCAACTGGAAATATAGGCTTAAAGTGTCAGTCAATGACAAACCATTGAGAATGTAGTTTATGAAGTTAAGCAACAATGAAAGATATTTATCTTTGGAAGAATACATTCCTATCAGGATTTACCTTGTGAGGTCTTGATTTGTGCACTGACTTTGATCGTTAGTTTCACAATGTTTCCTACACTGAAGATAAAGTAGCAGCAGTCCAATGGGCCCTCTAATCCTTCCATTCATACAAACCACTCAGGACCTTGTGAAAATATCACCATCCTATGTCATCTTCCATTTTTTCTTCAAACTAGAATGTTTCACATTCAGATATTTCAATAATATTTTGTGTTTATGTGGCCCCATGATTCAAACAGTTGGTCCCTGGTAAGTTACAAGCAAAAGAGTGTTTCACAAAGAGTAAATGCAAACAGACCTTCATGCTCCTTAAATTAGTTAATAGTAAGCACTGTACTAACCCCAAGGGAGACAGGGATGGAGAGACTCATGCAGTCCTAAAAACCTTCATAGTCGTGGTTAGTCTCTTGACTTAAAAGGGATTATTTGCAAAAGTATATGAATACATTTTTCTGATCAACATCCCAGTGTTGAAGAAGCTGTGTTTATTTAAGACTTTTCTATTCCAAAGTCAAAAGTGTGAAGCAAAATAATGTCGATTTGCACCTACTACTAATTTGCATTGAAAAACAACACAAATACACTATTTTTGGCAGGGAACATAGGCTTAGACCCAAGACTGTTAATACATATAACTCACCATCGCTGGCGCAAAGCCAGCGCTGATTTATGGTAGGCTGGGACACACCAGAGAAAGCAGTTCATCACTGATGAAGGGTTTTAGTATCTTCCAGACAAATGAATTCCACATACTGAATATTTAAAGCTGGGTTTGTAACACTGCTATATATTTTCTCAAAATACAAGTTAACATAATAAATGGGCAGAAAGATCATTAATAAACTATACCAAGACTACTGGTGTTCCTATGTGAAAAGGGACA